CGCAGAGGCAGAGTTGTTGGCACTCTCATCAATTGCGGGTAATGGGTACTGGTGGACTCGACTTTTCTCGGAATTTGACAAGGTATTTCCACCTGGAAATGAGCCATCTGGGGAACCTGTCAAGGATGGAACCATAGGTGGAACCAAGGTTTTCTGTGACAACCAACGTGCAGTGGACATCGCCAATCACAAGCATGGATCTCTCAACACGGCTTTGAGACACGTTGATATCCACCAACACTGGGTAAGACAGGAAACAATGGCAGGAAGATTGACCGTTGAATGGATTGGTACTGCCAAGCAACGAGCTGATGGCTTCACAAAGAACCTCCCCAAGGGGTCATTCCAGTCATTCAGGACAAGCCTGGGGCTCAGGTAAGTAAGGATATGGACATGGTTGATCATTAGATTGAGATGGACGGTCACCATGTCTGGTATTTCAGCTTTTCTTATGTAATCAAGCTGAGGGAGGTGTGTTTGGACAGAAGGACATGGGTGCCCTGGCATCATGTGACATGAGTCATATGAGATAACAGGGGCCACTGATTCCTTGGCATATGTATGTAGAGTTGGGGATACCCACCCCCCCTCTTTTCTCTTCTTGAGAGGGCAGACCTCGGACCTCAATTAATCCACTTATTGATTGGTATTCCATCAATCTTCTCAATTGGGCACTAGTGTGGTGTGTGGTTCCAACAGATAGGTAATGACCTGAACCTGGCAATTAAAATCGGCAAACCACTATAAATTACTAAGAAGACACTACGGCAGTAACAATGTGGAACACCAACTACCATGACCGCACCGAACAACGTGCACATAAGCATTATCGTCTGCAAAGGAAGTCCTCTCGACTACCAGCAGTATCGCCACACGGCATTCTGGATCCAATTCGACGATCCATCCACCACTCCTGCAATCATGGCTCACATCACCGGCACAGCGGGCATGTTCCAGTTCGAATTCCAAGAAACCAACTCTGACCCGACGAGTAGCAGCAATTTTGCCAAGCAGATCGAAGTCGGCTTCCTCATAACTCCTGCAACTCCAAGTCAATTGAGGCTAGTACTGCAAAGAATCCCTATTGACAACTGGAGCAGAGAATTCAATTGCCAGAGCTGGATCGAGAGAGCGCTCAAGACGCTCATGGTAGACGGGTGCATATCGGCAAGTGCCTACGAGAGGGGCTTGGACGGCATGGTTGATGCCATTGCAGAAGCGGAGGACGAGGAAGAATGATGGATGGCGCAAACACAACGCGCAAACTATGGTCGCTGCCAGCGTGCAATTGCCTGGTACGTTAGAAGCTCGGAAGGGTAGCGGGTTTCGAAAATATCGATAGCGAGGTCATACCAGCCTTTGCATCCCGTGGGGCGGTCAAAGAATTTGACGTATTCCCAATACTCGGGATACCAGCCTGCGAACTCCCAGTCGAGAAGTGCCTGTATTTGGCCATCGCGGACAATGATATTACGTGGCGATAGATCAGCATGAGAAAAGACAATGCGATGTCCGGTATGGGCCTGCAAACTCTCCACGAGTGTCTCGCGGATGAGCTGTGGGGTGCCCTTTCCGAGGTTCAAGATGAAAGCATGGAAAGCTGTCTCGGTCGCAAAAGGTCCGCCGGTGTAATCGCTGATATAGCGACAATCACGCGCGGGCCCGTCACAGGCTCCGATGAGAGTGGGTGTTGCTGTGGGCTGTGCAGCCCGCATGGTTGAGATGATGGCCCGCAGCTGTTGTGCAATCGAATTTTTGTCTGCGGCATCTATGCTCTCCCATGCATCTTCCAAACATACCCCATCAACAAAGTCCATACAGATACTGCAGATGCCTTCCGGAGTGATGGAAATGTCGTAAATTTCGGGCACCGGTATGCCCAGTGTGCCGGCCAATCTCAACGCATTTCCTTCCTCTCTGCGAACTTTTGTTCCGGATTTCCGAACAATATGATAGTGTCGCGAGATTCTACACCCATCCTTCCCTGCTGTCGAGATGAGCACTCCTGCAAAAGGGATCAATCAATACATATAGTGCCGCAATGAACGCAAGTCGACATGAAGCTGACCTTCAGGATTCGATGTCAACTCCGCTCTAGCGACGTCCATTCTACTAGGATCCATAGATTGATGGGACCTGCAGGATGGAGGTGCGTGAGGAGGCGTGCGCAGGTACGTACAGGTTCGAGATTGATCTCATGCAGACCGTGCAGATAGATACATAGGTGTAGATGGTTGTCAATCCCGTCTCTAGCGAATCTGAAGCAAGTCCCTGGCCCAGCGGCAGCGGACGGCTATCTCGCTCGGGAGGCCTAAAGTGGCAGAAGAGACACCTTGTGAGCTCTCAATCACAATAATCATGACAGTTCACATCATTGACCATCAGTGCAAGATGAACCAAACGGTAAGGCAGCTGCGGCACCGAAAAGGTGAAGTCAAAGTGCTTGCTACTGTATGCAGCTAGGTACTCCATCACTTCCTGCACTTTTCCCATATGAAAAAGAAAAAAAAAACCCAAAAATCTCCCCCATCCCTCTTCCCTCCTCCCTCACAGGTACCACTCCTCACGCCCAACCATGACCAATTCCCCCTCCCCCTCAACCGACCTTACGATGACGACGACGACGACGACCACCACCACCACCACCACCAACTCCCCCTTTCCCCTAACAGCCACCGACCTCCAAATCCTCTCCACCCCCGACTCCGAATTCCACCTCCTCACCTGGTCCGACCTCCGCACCATCATCTCCTCCAACGCCCTCGAAGCCCTCAAACGCCGACCCTCCGACCTCCACAAATACCTCGCGTGGTCTCACGAGATTAAAGCACAATATGGCGGAATCGTACCATATGTGATTCGGGAACGGCTGCGTTGGATTCCAATAGTACATCAACAATTAGAGGGAAAGGGACAGACAGCCGCGCCGAGATTTCAGCATTATTCAAAAATTCCATTTCAAGATCAGAGGGATTATGCGATATTGGTGAATGATTGGCCGTATGGGTTTGTTGAGGGAATCAGACATTTGGTGGTATGGAGTAAAACTCCGATTGCAACGGAAGATGTACAACGAGGAGGGGATTTGACAGAGGAGAGTCGGAGGGTGATTGAGGAGTTTGTGGAGAGGGTTTTTGTGAGGGGGTTGGAGGGAGAAGGAGGAGAGGGAGAAGGGGGGAAAGGAGGAGATTCGGCGAGGGATAGAGTATTGTGGTTTAAGAATTGGGTCAGTTTGCAAAGTGTGAGAGGGGTGGATCATGTACATGTATTGGTGAAGGATGTTTCGGATGAGATGATTGCGAAGTGGACGCAGAGGAAGGATTTGTGATATGGGAGTTGCTGCTGTATGTCGAACTCTCCTAAAGGCAGTAGTAGGTATGTACCTAGTAGTACAGTCTAGCTAAATGATAGCTATCTTCACCAGACTATGTAGGTAGTAGCCAGAGAGATCTACTACTCCTACTCTTCTCCGGCCATCTTTCTGATGAGGTGGCCACAGACATCTCTTATTTCTACCCCTTCTTGCCAAAAACACCGACACGCAATCATGGCCTAGATAGGCAGGTAGGTACTGCAAAGTAGGAAGGTCCCTAGGGGTATAGAACATGTATTGTCTTGGCCACTCGACGCGTCAACAGCACTTCTGACCAGGGCCAAGTAAGGTGTACCTGATGTATTATACTAAAACACCTCCGAAATCGCCATGACTTTTTGCTTGCTTTTCTCGGCCAGAAGTGCCATGATCATGTAAGGTACCTGTATGTATCATGAATGTATAATGATGACCTTCCCTTTCTTGTTTGTGATCATGCAAAAGGCCAAGTGTGGGCATAGGTAGGTACGTATACAGTGGCGGGTGTTTCCGCACAAATAATGTTTTCCATGTCATGTCTGCATTATTGCATAAAAGAACGCAACCCCAGGCAGCCAGGCCAGACTTGTCTAGTCATCTGTAAACCCCGGTTTGAAATCCAGGCGATATGAGTTGAGATCGTGTTCGTAACAGTTCGGGCGTCTCCTGATACAGGTGATAATGGGAATCAATCCTTTCGCGGTCCGTACTTCAGGGACATGCCGACCGAATGTTGAATGTGCAATGTGCAATGCAATGCATGCTGTGAATAGATATTCATGTTTCGCGTGCACTGCCACGGCAACGCACGTCCGGCACGGAAACCATGAGGAAGGGGGGTTTTTTGGATGATGCATATGCTGATGAACGGAGAGCTCCCAATTAGTCAGGTAGGTAAGGTAGGTGAGGTAAGGAAGTCATCCAATCCGTTCGGCATTCTCCATACTGCGTAGGATGGTGATGGGCCACTTCTGGATTTGCATTATCTCTTGTTCCTTTGTGTGTCTCACTAGTAAGGAGGGCCCGTCAACAGCATCATCTATTCGCACCTCCCTTGACAAGTAATCCTGCTTTCTCAAGCACATGGTCGGATGAAGGTCCAGATCCTGTTGCCGCGCGCAGCTGACTGCCGTAAAGGTAAGGTCATGTATGCGTACGCATCATTATTATTGTGATGCTCCACCGTCAAGCTGACCAGCTGCTTGGCAGATACAAGGACTGAGTGCGCGCGAGAGGCCGAGAATCTGCCGGACTAGCAGTGCCGTGATTTGCGCCAGATGTGTGCGTGTGCGTGTGCGTGTGTGATTCGGCGTGGTGGTGGTGGTCGATGTCATAGAATAAAAATACTGTTCGGGGTGGAACTGGTCTCGCCGGTCTATCGTCGCTCACTATACGAAGGACGCCAGGCCAGTAGGAGAGGAGGTGGGTCACATCTCACCGAGGCCAGAGGGATCGACATCCGAGTTCCATCGCGAAGGCACAGTCCACTGAGTCCAGATAGCCGTGTCGATCCGGGCGGTGGAGATGTGCAGCATCCGGGTCGTGCTCAGTAGTAGAGCAAAAGTTGGTGGTCAAAAGTGTTCCCCATCGGACCCGGAGCGCCCGCCGCCGAAGGCCGATGTCTTCTTCTTCTTCTTCGACATCTGGGCCAACTTCCATGTGTGAAGAAGAGATGCGTCCAAATGCAGGTCGCCAGTAGTAAGGTAGTGTCGTAACCACGTCCAAAGAATAGAAAACACATGGAATGAAAAATATACCTTTCAAAACGGGCCCGCAAACCCCCCACCAATACTTCCTGGCTCTCCGTCTGCCGTGTTCTCAATGCCAATGATTTCCTCCACAATAAAACACCTCCAGAAGCCATCGCGTTTCCGGAATCGAAAGATGGCCACAACATGTCGCACCACGTCCGGGGGAACACCGAGCACATCACTCGTGACAAACACACCCGCATGTCCATTCTTGTACACGTGGGTATCCAGTCCTTGAATGACCATCTTGTACTCGGTCTGCGCAGTCAGTGTAATCAGTCGTCGTAGATATTCCGCCAGGTCCTCGGTGCCTTGCGGCCATGGCGGAGGCGTATTCGCGGTGAATTTGGGGTCAAACGAGGCCGTGACGGGGTGGTCCAGCGTCAGTGTCCTGTTGTTGATGGCGTCGATGAATGTGCGCACGACCGATTCGAGATGGACCACAATGGCCTGGACCGATGGCTTCTTGGAAGAGGCGACCTCGGAGAGATCCGATAGATGGTGGTGGTGCGGACTGGTGGTGCTCGCGGAACTACTGGTCCGCAGCAGACTATCCAGTGAGCTGATGGCCGGTTTGGCGTCGACGGCGTCCAGCATGTCGTCGTCGTGAGGTTCTACTTTGCCGATGAAGGTGTTGGTCTGACCTGGGGAGGATGTCGAAGCTGGGGTCGGGGCTGTGCTGTAACTGGTGTTACTGTTGGTCGCACTGTTGCTTTCCGCCGCGCTCACTTCCGACTCTCTTCGCTCGTCATAATGGCCGAAGATTTTCGCGTCGAGTTGATTCATCATCATTATGGGGTGACGACCTTTTTTTCTTTTGTTTTTCTTTCGTTTTCTTGGATTTTTTTCCTCTCTTCTATCTTTGCTGGCAGCGGGAGACAGGCCTTTTTGTTTAAGACGACATACAAACGAGGGAGCACGCACAGGTGCAGAGCAGAGTCATGCTATTTTTGAAAGCCTGGTCCCAGTCGTGTGGTTGAAACATGCTTGAAAGATAGTCCCCCGTGTCGGTCGGCCTGTAATTCGATCACACGCGGAGGCCTGTAGAGTTCAGGCAAGTTCCATTAGGAGGGACGGTATGGCGCCTGTCGTCTGCGGCGCCATGGCACGTCTCGAGATCAGCCCCCACGATTGGGTTGCAGGGCGCGCGGTGAACCTACTGGGAGGGCACGCGACTCGCCGGGAGGTGGAAGCAAGCGAGTGACAACGGATGGTCACTGGTCCATCTCACTCTTCACTACAGGTACCTACCTACCTACCTCTACCGTACAGTACCTTAGGAGGTAACCTCTTACTGTGTACGGGATGGCTTCCAGGCGAGGCGAGGCGAGGCGAGGCGGGGCATAGCGCGGCAGTGGCAATGGCAGTGGCAGTGCTAGACTGACAGTGCCATCGACGTGCTCCGGACCATCCTACGGACATACTGCGACGTGATGATGGCCATTATCGACGTCGTTTGAAGCATAGCTCTGCGCATAAGCTTTCGCCCGTAGCGTCCCTGGAGCTGGTGGACGGTGGTCCAAGAACGCCGACGACTACGAACACTACTTAACATCTACACTAACTAGCCACTAGTCGGGCGTGCTACCAAAGAGCGACTGGACATCCGTCGCGCTTGGTCCTTTCGCCCTTGCACCGACCGAGGACGGACGGTGGCGGCGGCGGCGGCGGCGGCGTGCTCCGTCGTCACGCATAGTATGGCATGGCATGGCATGCAGACTGGCACTATCACATATCCACCGACATGACGAGAGCCGGACTACTACTGACACTACCGACCGAGAGGAAGTTTCGTGCAGCCACAACAATCATCAATCATCCAACATCAATCATCCCGTCATCACCATTATTATTATAATGATAATCATAATAAGAATAACCTCCAGCTCCGACCGGGTATGGCTATGCTACCTGGCTCTCTCCATCGGTCTTCCCTGCTGGCTGTCCAGGATCATGCGAGGTCTCAAAAGGGCAGGTTGCGCCTCTTTTCTCTTGCGAGATCGCCAATCCTCCATGCATCAACCTTGGCGCGTCTTGTGTCGAAACTAGTCCCAGCCATGCCCTTGAAGGCCATGCGAATGACGATGCTACCTCCTAATGCCCTCACATGCTGCCAATGCACAGTCAGGCAAGGTCATCCAATGCCACGCGGTCTGACCGTGGTCCGGTGAATGATGAATCCCATATTGGGCTTGGCATGGACAGTACCAAGGGAGGTGGCTCCATCTCAATAGACTGACTACGATGTACCTTACCTGGACCTGAGATCAAATCCGATCGCGTGCTCGGACACCTTTTCCCCAGAGACAGAGGGAGGGAGAGAGGGAGAGCGTGATCGGATGAGGACACGCTACGACTATCTGATGCTAAGCAGCCGGACAAGTACAGCCTCTCTCTCTCCGGTCTAGCACGCATCATTTGTCAGAGTCTGTGCATCAGCACCAATGACCATTTTCAGCTGGGCAGAGTCCAGACTATAGTACAATGTACTTTCGCAAACAGAGACACCTCATCATCCTCATCACCAGACACCGAAAGCAAGAAGAAAAGTACTTTTCGCGTTATTACTTAATAAGTGTCTTCACGGGGAGGCTGTGTGAAGATGCGGATGCGATGCATGATGATGAGTGTTTTCCTTCCAGAAACTCATCACATCACATACTACCTAGGTAGCTTGGTTCGGATGAAGACGATCTGACGCTATCTTACCGGCGAGGCTATGGGCAGCCCTTGGATTCGTCTAACCGCAGCCCTAGACGTAACACACCTCGACATCTCGTTATCGACGTAATATACTCCGCTGCCTGAGGCCAGCCTCTATATCGCTACTGCTACCGCTGCTGCTATAGCCTGTCGCAAGTCTCGCCGTCGCGACTCCCGTCTCCTTTACGAATCTGCCTTTACCTCCTACCCCTTCAAAATACGATTATTAATCGCGAGCGTACGATACGTATACCTATTATCCTATGTATAAGATAATCGGCTTCTACGAGTAGCGAGGCAGATTCGTAGAGGAGAGTCGTAGTAGCCCGCGACATGGAGGCGGCGAACTTCGAAGTATTTTACGTCGATAACGAGAAGTGGACTTAGCGGAGCTGCGGAGGTAGGTATATTACGTACTGTTTGGGTGTATTATATCTAGGGCTGCGGTTAGACGAATCCAAGGGCTGCCCATAGCCCCGCCGCTATCTTACCTTGCCTGACCTTACTTCCTACCTACTGGATGAGCTAGAGCGAGTCAGTACCTAAGGAAAAGTAAGAAACGCCTTGTGGTACCTCCTAGCGTTGTACCACACTACCACAACACTGGGAACCTATAATATACATCCTCCGAAGAGTGCAGTCCAATCAACACTTCCAAATTCCGCACATGCGACCCGCCGCTGACATCGCTTACATCGGCACGGGCAAGCCGCAAAGATCGTATCGGACGTACCGTATTAAATCTAATAAAACAGAAACAAATCAAAAAAATTGAAGCTTTTTCCTCACACCTGCACCTGCACCTTCACTTTCAACTTCACCTTTCCTCCTCGGAGGTCGGGCCCTCTTATCACGTACATGGCACATGCAGAGGTCGTAATAAGATACATCACTCACATACCTTAGTACATACATGTACCTTAGCGTGCCTGGAATACGACGGAGGCACGTACTGTACATACATACGTACGCTTTTATTGTTGTTGTTTTCCAAGGAGGAGAGGTTTAAGGTACATACCTGCATTACATTACATTACATGAGGGGCAGTTACCTGCATTACATTACATGAAGGGCAGTAAGGTGCCTTATTGAAATACGAGCGAAACTTTCACAAGCGTGCTGCGTGCGTTGCAGGTAGAGGACGGACGACTGACTGACCGACCGAATGACTGACCGACGGAGGACTGACCGACCGAGGGCTGAAGACGGAAATCGCATCATACCGCCTCTTCTTCTTTTTGATTTCGTCTTTTAGTTTTGTTTTTGGATGTTTTGTCTATCTAGTCTAGGTCTCAACATTGAACAAGTAGAGTTCCAATTCCCAAACGGGCGAAGAAAACAAAAAACAAACCAAAAACGGAATTAGGTAGGTAGGATCCGGAATGATTGCGAGATTATGTTTTTTTTTGTTTTATCTTATTTTTTTCGAGTGTGTGACTTATAACTATGACTAACTTCATGGCTGTAACTGTGATTCTGTTGTTATTGACTTGTTGACTTGTTGATGTTATGATTGTTATTTGACATGACGCGGAAAAAAAAGGTATTTCGATGCCGAATTAATTTGGCTGAAATTTCCCGATGCTTGGTATATCACCATTGAAGTCGAATGTTAATCTACGAAGATGATGAGACGAAATATTTCTGGTCTCATCTCATCGGATCGTCGTGGTGCTAGGGCCTTATTAGTTTCTTAGCATCACTCGGAATATGGTATACGTTGACCGCTAGATACGTATAGGCCTTGGGAACCATATCATATCAAGAAACTGAACTGTGAGCATAAAGTATTGAAGGTGCGAGGGCTTGAGATACTTGCTCATGCCTTTACCTATGTTTCACACTTGACAGGCGTATGCGTGCACATCCTATTGCTGTCTCGGACTCACATGCGTCTGTCAGAATAATTCAACCTTAAAAGGATTCCAGACTCGAGGATAGTCAAAGTGATCACACGTTCCATGTCCGCGGACTTCCATCTGCAACATTCCTGCAACTGACCACGGCGGTAAAAGGTACCTAGCTGCTGCCAACGCCAGACTCCGCGCTTGCACAATATACCAGCCACCCGCTACCAATCCTTGCCCCAGCCGTCGTCGTCTTTCTTCGAGGCGCTGGATCCAGCACCACCCGAGCTCCCCTTCATTGCACTCGTGCCCAAACCACTTGGCTTGGGTTTTTGAGCGGCTGCACTCTCACCCGCAGCGGAGAAGTCGTCCCAAAAGTCTTTCTTCTCTTTCGGTGGGCCAGCAGGTGCCTGTCCGAAGCTTTCCCAGAAGTCCGCCTTCTCGGGCTTGGCGCCTCCTTGCTGTGGTCGGTGATCCGGGTCTACAAACTTGTTAAACTGATCACCAAGTCCTTTCGTACCTTGCTGAACAGTAGTGCCTAGAGTGAGGCCTGTCTGTCGAATTTGCGCTGCAATGTCGCTCTGCTGGAAATTTTTCATGCCGGGCTGCACATATGTGGAATTAATGGTGGCAGCTTGTTTGGTTACGGTACTTGACAACCAGCCAAAGCCCTTTGTGAGCGCTGCAATGGGGTCCTTTTGGAAGTCATCTACGCCAGGCGCACGTCCTCCGTCATAGTCGTCTGTGGGCATGGGCGATGAGCCAAAACCAGCATATTTGCCGCCCTGACTCGGTGCGATGCCCTCGGGTCTACTCGCGTTCGATTCTCCCATCCTCGCAAAGTATGCCTCGTTCTGTGCCTTTTGCGAAGGTGTGGACGTGCGTTGTGGCACTGCCTTTGCGCCGCCAACACCACCAAGAGGTGTATTTCTTCCTGAACCCGCAGGAGTATTTGAAACACTCTCGACAGCGGCCTTCTTGGGAGCGACTTTGGGCTTTGGCGCGCCTGGAACATACTCGGTGCCCTCGACTTTCGCAGTCAGTCGCTCTTTCCACTCCTCGCCAGCCTCGCTATCGTATCGTTCGGAGATGGTGCAGCTGTCGAACTCTTGACCGATCATGGTGTTGCTGCTATGGGCATCGAAGAAGTCCTTCCAGGGCTTGTTGCCTCCCAGCTCCATGCGCTTGACCTCTCCTGTCTTAAAGGAGTCCATGGTGACGGAGCGCACGAATGAGATGTGCACGCCCAGCGAGCGATGGATGCCTGAGCAGGCCAGACAGAAGAAGATCCCAAACTTAGGAGAAGCCTAGGAGGATATGGTCAGCGCCGTGTCCGCTTGCATCCTGCTGTCGTGGCTCGCGGAGTATGTACCCATTGTGGACTCGGCGCACCGCAGTCCACACAGCGATTGTTCTCGTTGGTCTTGGAGATGGCAAGCAGCTTGCTCTTGGTCTCCGGATCGACCTCCCACAGCTTGCTCATCGTGGCGGTGTTGGACGAAGCGACGTGGAAGAATCTATCGCGCGCGGTCGGTGACGAGTCGGAGGCAGGACAGAATGAACGGGGATTCGTGGAGGTGGGTAGGAGACAGGTAACTTGGGCGAGAGGCTTATAGCTGCACCATGCCTGAGGTAGATGTAGATCACGATATGGCCGTCTTTGCACGAGTCCTCTGGCCCAGAAGAGTGAGTCGTGTGTGAATGAATATCAGTGGGGGACGTAAGGTGCCTTAAGGTCAGGTATGTAGGGTTAGAAGTACGTGTATGCTACTGCGCTAGGCGACATGCTCATGCAACATCCCATACCCATTCTCGTGATCGCCAAGACATCTACCCACCTCATCTGGGGTCATCTTTACAAGCCATTGGCTACATCTAGGTAGGTACATGTATACTCGCTACACGCTGTATCGAACTACATACAACACCAATAAGCTCGCATCTAATGGGCGGTCGTCAACTCATCTGGCGCAGTCTCAAGAAAGCATCTTCATCTTCTTCAACCACCACCTTATCCCCCGGCATCATCACTACCATGTCTGGGCCTATTCTTGAAGGCGTCCTGGGTACGGTATGGTTCCATTCCATACCATAGCGTCCCTCTTGCATCCTAATCAAACCTCACAGCCATCAACAAACCTCCCGCCATAAGCTCCGCCCAAGTCATCCGAGATGTGCAGAACCATTTCAATCCCTCGAAACTGTTCCAGCCATGGCTCGAGCGCGAGAGGTCAAGGCTCGAAGGCGAATCACATAACCAGCGGCAGAAGCGTAAGGTCAAAAACAGGAAGCTGAGAGATGTCAAGATGGGTCACGGTGGCACCTTGGATCCCATGGCGACGGGAGTGCTGATTTTGGGTCTTGGAAGCGGCACTAAGGATTTGCAATATTTCACTACCGAGTGCACCAAGAGCTATGAAGCTGTGGTGCTTTTTGGTGCGGCCACGGACACCTATGATACGGAGGGCAAGGTTGTGGGAAGGAAGCCGTACGACCACATTACGAAAGAGAAAGTGGAGCAGGCCTTGGGTCCATTCAGAGGCAAGGGTATGCAAAAGCCGCCTATTTTCTCGGCGCTGAGAGTCCAAGGGAAGAGGTTGTACGAGTACGCGCGCGAGGGCAAGCCGCTGCCAGAGGGCTTCGAGATCAAGGAGAGGCCAGTGGATGTTATGGAGCTGGAAATGACCGAGTGGTTTCCAGGCGGGACGCATGAGTGGCATTGGCCAACCACAGAGGCAGACACTGCCGAGAAGAATTTGGCGAAACAGGCGCTGCCTGGCGAACTCGGAGGCGTGACTTCCCAGGGGGACGATCTGAGTGTCGAAAGCAGTGAAGCTGTCCTGAAGCGTAAGCGTTCGGAGCTGATCGAGAGCCAAGCTGAGGCTGCAGGTGCATCTTCACCAAAGAGATCGAGAGCAGATGAGGCTGGCATAACTTCTCCTTCTACGCGCTTGTCGAGTCTAGAAGGCGCACAGCCAAACACGGAGACTGCGGAACCGCCCAAAGATGAGCAGCAGCCAGCAAGCTCGAGCGCCGCAGCAGCACTAACTCAACAAGCACAACAGGAGGCGGAGCAGGACAAACCAGCGTGCTCCGCTCCAGCGTGTCGCATCAAGATGACAGTCACATCAGGCTTCTATGTGCGGTCACTGATACACGACCTCGGCGCAGCCGTAGGCTCGTTAGCATGCATGTCCAGTCTGGTACGTACGCGGCAGTCAGACTTTGAGCTCGGAACGAACGTCTTGCAATACGACGAGCTCAAGGCAGGCGAGGAGGTATGGGGCCCGAAGGTGCAGAAGTTGCTGGAGGAGTGGATCGAGAAGAAGGATCAGCGAAGTCAAGCTCACGACAAGGAGAAGCAAGCTGGTGCCGCTGCCGAGTCAGAGGAAGTGGAGAAAGAAAAAAGTGCTGATGGACTGGGCGACGGGAAGCTGAGCGATGCCCAGCGTATCAGTATGCTACAGAAAGCTGGGTTGTTATAGGATCCTGACTAGCCCTTGGCATGTACGATCTGCCAGTCACGGAGTACATGAGACCTCGAACACCGAGCCTCGCGACACCATAAAGCCTCGTCACTCCGGGCATAACTGCTATCGTCCGGCAAGCTCTCCCGCTCGTCTGTACGTTTGCCCTGCTTGAAAAGCCATCATCAGCGGAGATATAGTGAATCAAAGCAAGAGAGACACCGACTTACTCCCAACATTCACTCCACTTGCCCTTCTTCCTCCCGCGTTACTTAGCCTCAGCGTCTGCTCTCATCATCAGCCTCAGCCTCGGCGTCCGCTTGAGCCTGAGCTTCGGCTTCGGCCTCCTCTGCAGCTTCCTGCTCCTGCTCCTGTTGATACAACTCGTCGCACATCTCCTGAAAGCGCTCTTCGTCGTCTCCTTCCATCTTGGCTCCTGTTCTTGGAAAGTTTCTTGATGAGCGGGATTTGAGAGCTGTAGATAGCGTTAGGGCGTCCATTCATGATATTCAAGACGTGACTTACTGTTGTATGGTATGCGGTGTGTACTGAACTCTTCTTCGGTGTTGTCGGGGTGTTGTGGCTTAGGACACGTTGACTTGGTGTTTTATGGGAGATGGGAGATGGGAGTTGGGTCAGGGATTTGGATATATAGGTAAGGAAGCGCTGTTTAGTTGTTTGATTAAGGTATGCTTGCTATACTGCACTTCTGCCTTTGAGACTCGAGAGAGCGAAAAGGCGCTTACAGTATCGATAGCTGTCCGGTATAGATATTAAAGGACGAAGCAAGCGGCAATATATACTAGAACCTTTGCTACTAGACCTTTCTTTGCAATGATTCAGATACCTCGGTAGATACAGTAGGTATCAACCAAATCAAACCATACCTATGTAAGACCATCGAAACTCTCCGCCCGCCCTACACCGCCTCCTCCCTCCCCTCCTCTCCCCCTCCCCTCCCCCTCTTCCTCCCCCTCCATTCTCACCCAACTCTCCCAAACCACCCCGCAACAGTCGCCCAGCGATTCACATGCAAAAACAAGCTACACCCAACATTCCCCCACATCATATCATTCCACTCAGCAACATTCCCAAAATACTGGGGTCCCACAGCAGCGTACACAGCGTAAATATGTCCCACATCAGCACATGCCACCACGACGAGATATCGCTTGGCGATTTCTTTGTGGGTTGTCCAGGAGCAGATGATTGCGAGGGCGGCGAGAAGGAGGAATACGTTGCCGATTTGTAAGGTGAGAGCGTGGGCTTGTGGGGGGAAGAAGTTGCTGTTGTCGTTTTCTGCTTCGTTTTTCACGATGGTGGGATAGGGAGCTTGGGCGGCGAAGAAGGTGAGGGGATTTGTTGTTGCGATGATGGAGGCCCATATTCTTTTTTTGTGGATTGTTATTTATCTTACTGTCTATGTATCTTTTATATACCTAGTTGCGGTTGATGTGTTGGAAGGGGGAACTAACAGGGCTAAGGGTTCGAGGATGCCGAAGAGGATGAGAGGCCAGAGGGGAAGACAGGATCGTGCCATTTCTCCAAGGGTGGAAGATCTCTCATGGGCGGGATATCACTGGTATACATGTAATTTTCATTTCATGATATCAAGAAGATGTCGATGGCAACCTGAACCAGCTTGGCATATTATGATCCCTGAAATAGATTAATCCTCCCTGCCAAGATCCATCCCCACCCACTCCGCAGCAAGACTTCCTCGCGCGTGTACAGCTGACGCGCACTCGTTCTGAGGTAAGCCGCGCGCGTCGGTTCTTGGCATGCACTCGAAAATAAAACACTGCACTCGTTTTCAAATCTACTATATTTTGTAGCGTAGTCTTGTAAAATATCGATAAAGGTAAGTTTCTAACATTTATATACTATGTTAGTACTAATAATATAGTAGTAGGATCGGGATAGTAGGTTTAGAGAAGTCGACAAAGTAAGTTCCCTTTAACCGTTACCCTATTGTTATAGTAACATTAGCTATCTAGTATTTAAAGAAGTCGACTAAGTTCCCTTTTACCGTTATCCTATCGTTATTATAACGTTAGTTCTTAAGTAAGGCGACTATTATTAACTATATTATCGAAATTTTCTAACTTCCTTTAACTATTACCCTACTGTTATCGTAACGTTAGCTATCTAGTAGGAGAGATCAATAATAGAGTCAATACTCGATAGTAGAGTCGGTA